TGAGTTGGCTTTCTCTTCCAAAACGCAATTCTTTTATCATATTTTTTTATTGAGTATACCTGCTAAATTGAATTTGGAGTTAGGGAAACCCGACCCGACCCATTACCATCTTAGACTCATATCTTATCTTAATCCTAATGTATATTATAAGTGTTTGGAAAAAAACTTCCTCCACATCAGCACTTTTCGAATGCTCAATTTTCCATGTCATCCACAAATCTCTCTCTTCTTTTTCCTTGCTCTCACAATCCTCCTCAATATATGGTAGAGTTTCAGTTTATTTTCTCATTTCAAATTTTATGTACTCTCTTTAATTTTAGCTATTTTATTACTGAAAAATGTATTTTTTGTTTAAACATTTTTATTCTTTTCATTCTCTACCAGAGAGAACCATGAGCATGATGACATTGTTGTGAGTGTAAGTTTGGTTTGTTCCAATTATACTAAAATAAATATCATATGTAGATAATAATTATTTTAATTTTTTGGGCTCATAATTGGTGAATTACTTACTTAGCCCAAGATCATAGTCAAACTATTGAAACAAAGACATTGGAGATGTTCATTTTGATTTTTTTGAAATTAACTATTGGTAGATGTTGGTTTTTTTTTTCTTCACACGTTATTGATCGAACTATCCATTAGTTCTCAAAACACTTTCTTTTTTCATTAGTCTTTTTTTTTTGGTTTCATATTGGCTTTATTAAGACTTGTAATATCTTTTTTATTTTGGGTGAAAAATAAGGGTAATATCTTATTTTGGCCCGAACTATGATCATATAATCAACTTTGACACGTGGTTTCAGAAATTAACATCTTAGCCTCAATTATGCAGCATATAGACTAAATTGGCCCGACACATGCTTTGACCGTCAATTAGGAAGGTCAACATCATTGACTTTAGTCAACACGCTATGTCATTGCCTAGTCAGCCTAAAAATCATTAAAAATTGAAATTCAAATTATTATCCGAGAAGACACTGCACTACACCGATCTATGCAAACTTGCAAAGGAGTGTATCAAATAGAGTACGTCTCTCATTTACAAATATTTCTTTTCTATGTTGAAACTTCATTTTTTTATTTTTCTTTTTGGATCATGGATATCACATTATTATTATTATTATTATTATTATTATTATTATTATATTAAAGGAGAGCTTTGGGTTGTGTAACTAAGAAATAATGCATATCACAACCCATTTTTATTTTTGTTATTATCATACAAAAAAACTCATTTTTATTATACTTTTGAGGTTTGTGATGTGACACTAATAATAATTTATTTTTTATTTATTTTTTCACTAACAAATCATTTTTTATTTTCTTTTTATTGAACCCAAACTCATGGTATCCAACGTAATTTGACCCGAACAACGCGAGTTGAACCTGTTATTAACGAGTTTCGGATAAGAAGTGAGTTTTACCTGTTTTTATCAAATAAGTTGTTGGAGAGCTTTGACAACCAACGAGGGGAGCTAGGAGAGAGAGGAGGAAACACTCTATCTGTATAATCAAGTTGCCTGAGTTGAATCATGTTGTTGAAATGGCTTTAAAGAACATCGAAGATAATATATATAATCCACTGCTATTAAGAGCAATAAATGTATCATTTCATTTGTACATATAAAAAAATTCTATCTGAAATGATATGTTTGATTCGACAGTAGAATATGTTTTTTAATCCAATTTCTTTTATTACACAGGTTGGAGATAAAGAAACATATAACCTATTTTGAGAACTGGAAAGTTCGATGTGAATGTTGTCGATGTCCGAGAAGACACTACACTACACCGATTTATGCAAACTTGCACTAATCTATTTGTGTAACTAAGAAATAATGCATATCACAACCCATTTTTTATTTTTATTATTATCATACATAAAAACTCATTTTTTTTATTATACTTTTGAGGTTTGTGATGTGACACTAATAATATTTTTATTTATTTATTTATTTTTTCACTAACAAAAAAATTTTATTTTCTTTTTCTTTTTATTGAACCCAAACTCATGGTGTCCAACCTAATTTGACCCGAACAACGCGAGTTGAACTCGTTATTGACGAGTTTGGTTTAAAAGTGAGTTTTACCTGCATTTATCAAATAAGTTGTTGCAAAGCTTGTACAATCAACGAGAGCGAGTTGGGAGAGAGGAGGAGAGCCGCTACAGAAATTCAAAAACAAGTTAAAGAAGCTGAAATACATGTCCCAATAGATGACATTGTTAGAGTTGTGGAGCGTACTGAGAGTACCGAAGGCGAGGATCAGCCGAGTACCAAACAAGAGTCTAAAACAGACCATCCTCCTGACCGTTTTGAATATCGATTTGGCTATATTTACGGTGACCACTATGTCAACGAGAAGGATATAGAAACTTATCGGTATTCAAAACGGTCATTGACATAACAAGAGTCTGAAACAGACAGTCTTCATGTCCTGCTATTTGTCCTCATCCTTCTTCTTTTCCTTCAACGAGAAGGATATAGAAACAACATTGACATAACGACCACCATATAGATGACCGAATCTGTATTCAAAACGGTCAGTAGGACTTTCTGTTTCAGACTCTTGTTTGGTACTCGGCTGATCCTCGCCTTCGGTACTCTCAGTACGCTCCACAACTCTAACAATGCCATCTATTGGGACATGTATTTCAGTTCCTTTAACTTGTTTTTGAACTTTTGTGGCGGCTCGGGTCGGATTTGGAAATGTGAAGATGCAATGAGGAACCTCCTCCTGTTCTTTATACCATCCGGCTCCTTGTTTCTCGTTCTTGAGTGGACGATGATGATTCTGGTCCTTGTTGTTTTTCTTGGTTCGAAGAACCTGGTTTTTGTTGTTTTTCATTGGTCGAAGAACCTGGTTCTTGTTGTTTTTCTCAAATGGAGTACATCTCTCATTTTATAAGTCTTTCTCTTTTATCTTTCTTTTAGAATCTTGGATATTATATTATTATTGTTATTTTTATTATTTTGAGGTTTGTGTTGTGACATTAATAAATAGTGCACATCACAAATAATTTCTTTTTATATTTTATTTATCACATCTATCATCTCCGAAATTGTTTCATGTCGATGTTTGGTATATTGGTGGATTAAATAGAGATTAAGACTTCATATACTTCACAATACTAGTTGAGAGAATGTCTTCTAAACATTTAAGATTTATCTAAATATACCTCAAAGTACATGATATCAAGTTGTCTTTATCTTAAAATAGTGTACTTGATTAAATTTGGTGATAATCTTTCACAACTTTCTTTTGTACAATCACCTCACCAGTTACTCGTTTGGTAAGAGAAGATAAAATCAAATAGACTCATTATCCGTTAGACGAAAGAGAAACCTATTCGTCTCTCAATGAAAGAATCAAGTCTTTCTTTATATAACAGTGACGTGACACTCTAGAATAGTGCATCACAAACTTTTTTTTTATATAATAGTGGATCGAAGAACCTGGTTCTTGTTGTTCTTCTCAAATGGAGTACATCTCTCAGTTTATAAGTCTTTCTCTTTTATGTCGCAACTTCATTTTATCTTTCTTTTAGAATCTTAGAGATTTTATTATTATTGTTATTTTTATGATTTTGAGGTTTGTGATGTGACATTAATAAATGGTGCACATCACAAAGAATTTCTTTTTTATATTTTATTTATCACATCCATCGTCTCCGAAATGGTTTCATGCTTATGTTTGGTATATTGGTGGATGAAATAGATATTAAGACTCCATATACTTCACAATACTAGTTGAGAGAATGTCTTCTAACATTTAAGATTTATCTAAATATACCTCAAAGTACATGATATCAAGTTGTCTTTATCTTAAAATAGTGTACTTGATTAAATTTGGTGATAATCTTTCACAACTTTCTTTTGTACAATCACCTCACCAGTTACTCGTTTGGTAAGAGAAGATAAAATCAAATAGACTCATTACCCGTTAGACGAAAGAGAAACTTATTCGTCTCTCAATGAAAGAAATGAAAGAATCAAGTATTTCTTTATATAACAGTGACGTGACACTCTAGAATAGTGCATCACAAACTTTTTTTATATTTTATTATTTGTCACATCCACTTCCTCTCAAGTGGTTTCTCGCATATGTTTGGTGTAAGTGGATAAAATAGAGATCTGCCTTCAACTATTTGACGATGCTAGTTGAGAGAATGTCACCTAAACATTAAAAATTTCTCTATATATACCTCCAAATCCAAGTGCATGATATTACGTTGTCTATTATCTTAAATAGTGTATTGATTAAACTTAATGATAAACATCCACAACTTTCTTTGTACAATCACTTCGTTGTACAATCACTTTGCCTGTTACTCATTTGTCACCTATAGTAACTCTAAATTTGTTTCAATTAGAGGGATTCTATGTTGGACCAGTATATGAAAACGAGTTAATCGGTCGCGCTCTACGACGTGTATGAGTATATAACAATTTGATTTAAATTGAACTTATTCAATTGATATAGTGCAACTCATTAATGTATTCAATAAACCTCCAGGTTCGAATCCCTTAAATATTACCTTAATGACAAACAAATGAATACTATATATCACCCTTATTAAAAAAATTATTGTTCACGGTAAAAATGCAAAACAAAATCAAAACTGGATGTGAACATATCAGAGCGAAAATGTTATTAATTCATAAGTTGATACTCTAAACTCACCTAAGACATGAACAAATACTATGTCCTCTCGAGCATTAATACACATCTTACAATGCTACAATAGGTAAATTGACATACTTAATGGCGACCCTTGCTTGAACATCAAGAAAGGTTCCTCTTACATAAATATGTTGAATGATGAGAGTATGTGTGAATAATGATTTATACATACTATGCTAAAGATCATAAGAATGAGATATAGGAACAGTAATGGAAGTTGACCTCGACTTCATCGAATATGGTTATTCTATAATTAAAGGGAGAATCCTTCTAATCAACCAAGGCAAGTCAACAACTATTTGTGACATGTTTTTGACTGAATACATTCAAAACTCAATAACCGTTAACATCTTTATATCTGTATTCTAGAAGTTATACAATGACAACATTGAGAAAGAAATTGTAATCAAGGACTAGCTTGGACTAGAATGGATAAAAACATTAGTTGAGAACACAAACTAGACCTACTCTACGAGCAATTACCACTCCTCAAGCTCTGCAACAGGTCCAAGTATCCCAGGCTTTCAGGGCAAATGTACCTGAAAGTATTCATACGCCCTAAAGTTAGTTAAGAACCAACAACCATCAATCATGTGCATTGATGCTATACTTAGGAGATCAGATATTAAGAAGCTGTCTTAATAGATTCACGGTGAAGAGGTTGGAAGAGATGGAATGAATAGCTCATCATACACTGAACATGAGAAACGGAAGGAAGAGCACTCACCCATGTCGGAATAGGAAATCAATGACGACTAGGGAGCAGTTTGGTTTGTAAAAATGAGTCCTCCTTACTATATGTGCAACACTTCCCACGGGCATCAAGTTGAAACCCTCAACTTCTCCATCTGTCCCCAATTTAGAGACCCCGTTACAAACATAATCAAAGAAAATACTGAATGAATATGAATGGTAAAATGCAAAGAACTATATGAAGGCACTCTTACCTTGATTTTTTGGTACAAAACTTTCAGGTAGCTTCAAATCGTAGCAAAATAGAACATCTCTCTTGAACCTATCGCCATCAATATCCACATAAGAAACGGCACCAACTAGCAGAGCCCTATGATAGAAGCAGTAACCAAAGCATTATCACTCAGGAGAATATCAGAAACAGAATTAAAGTTACTACGTAAACAATAAACTAGGAATTGGAGACCATACCAAACTTACTTGACAGAAATCGATTGAGGTATTCCTGCTTCTTCTTCACATTCCTTCACGACATTTTCTTGACAAGATATTCCATGAGGCTGAAATTGCCACCATGAAAACTTATGCACTGACTCAGCAACATATGGGGATAGTAAGACTTAGACTGATCCAAATTTTGACCATGTATATTTTGATTATTTTCACACTCTTTAGTTTGCAAGACTAAAATGAACCTCTCAAGTCTCAAGTATCTAATTCACATTTCCCTCCAGCAAACTGAATATCCCATCATGCACTCAAAGATCACTGCAACTTATCTTCCTAGTGAGTGTTCTTCATCAGAACCCGGAAAAGAACCTAAAGGAGACAAGATCACAATTCCCCTAGAGCGCTGAAAGGACCATGATAAATGTGGAAGGCACACAGTGTTCTGAAGTGGTAATTGGTACAAAGGATTGATAGACCCAATTAGTGGATTAATAGAGAGGCACTGCGAACCAGTCCTCCGGCAACAAGATGATCCAGCATCCAGGGTAAGTAGGTTTCACTAGACTTCTCTTTGCTACCCACAACAATTTTTCATCACCACTCTCCACAAAGCCATTCATATGAATGCCATATGCCTGCGCAATAAAAGCACAACCCATAACTCATTAGAATAAAGGAAAGAAACCCAGCAAACAAACCACATTGATACCTCCAGAACACAAACCTTTATCCCGAAATACGGAGCAGCAACACGCTCTAATGAGAAGTAGACTCGCCCACCAAACAATGAAGTAACCGGGTAGAGCTGATCACCAATCAAAACCATTAACACTCAGCCAATGATATCTTCATTTCACAATTTCTCACTTTCAAGACCTCTCGAAATTGTATTCCACCAATAAGAATGAGAGCAGTGTTACCTCACCTTGTATACCTGGAATTAGCTCTTCTTGTTCTTCTACCAAGCATTTGATGACTTCCCCAACAGCTGCAGTCCTCTCTTCCGGCGTGCCTAGCTTGTCATGTAAAGTAACGCAATACCCAAATCGGGCTCCATGGGAGCTGCTGTCCTTGATCACGAACACTTCCTCGAACCGCTTCAAATGTTCAACGAAACTATGAACAATACAAAGACCATCTCAAGTTGAATGAACAACGTACTCGATGCCTCGATTACAAAATTCCAGAAGAATGAGAATTAGGTTTCTGTATACTCACCGGTTATGAATGTAGCCGATTGTGTCTCCTCGATCACGAATGGAACGAATTAGAATCGCATTTCCTGCAACGAAATTTCCGTCTCACATTTCCGGGAAACCAAACTGAAATTCGAGAAGGGGAAAAAATAGATTTTCCAATTAGAGAGCCGCGATTGCAGAACTTGATCTTCTCGAAGAATCCAGAGAGATCAGAGGAATCCCCGGGGGCGTATTCAGGTTGAGAGGCTCGGACGGCGTCATCCCAAGTGAAGCTGCTAGTCTCGGGAGTGGCGGTGGAGGAGAGAGCTGAAACGGAGGGGAAGCCGGAGGATTGCGCCGCGTGAGCGGAGAACCGGAGCGGAAACGGTGTCGTCTGGGGACTGATTGAACGAGAAATTGGCGGGACTCCGGCGACGGCGCAAATTGGAGGGAAGGAAGAGCAGAATCTGTTGGGTAGGAGGAAGAGGGAATTGAGAGCCATTGGAATGCGAGCGACTGAGTGAGTTCGAGCAATGGCGAAATTCTGAAGGCGGGAGCAAACTTCGGACGAGCACGGAGCGGGCAGAGTAACAACGTCATTCGACAGTTTGGTGGTAGATATGGCGGCTTCCGGTTGGCGTAACAAATTCACACGGTCACACCTTAACTCATTAAGGCCATGTTTGGATGTGAATCTTTTTTGTAATTTTTTTCATTTTCAAAATACGGGGTTTTTTTGCAGGATTGTTTTCTAGTAAAATGCATGAAATAAGACATTAGGATGACAATCAGTCAATTCGATTTTCCAAACAACGATCTGAATTGTATTGAGATTGATATCGAGTTTGATTTGATCGATTCTCAAAATTTTGAATATTTTTTGGTATTAGATTCTATGTAATCCTTGAAAATAAAGAGTTAAATGAAACCAATCAAAGTAAATATAGATCCAATTGAATGTTGTATCAATTATGATTCTAATTGATACTCCCTTTTTTAATCCTGTGATACCAATTTCATCAATCACTAAGGATATTGGCACCTTATCAAACTAAAAGACATCTTCAATTATTTTCAATTTTAGGGTTGATAGACAAATGTTACCTTTCACCTACGGCCTACCTGATCCTATATTTCCAATGCTGGTATCAAATTATGAAAGATTCACAGGAAATGAAGAAAATATACTTTTAAAAGTCAAGGTCGTTGCCACTCCGTGCCTCGCAGCGTCGTCGGTTCTCCTCCTCCTCATCCTTCTTCGCCATTCAATCGGAGCCGGCGTTCTATTCGCATCGCTTGTCAGGCAATGTCTTGCTCGTCGTCTTCGAAAACTTCCGTTCCCACTCTCAGAATTGTCACCATACCGTACTCGGAACTCAAGGTAAGCGTGCGTCTCCTAGTTCTCTGTTTGGTTGCTCTGAAAACGTAGAAGAAATTAGGAAAACTAGAGAGGATTTGAACTTGTGCCCGTTTGATCAGGCTTTATAATAAAATTTAGCGCGGTTTTGGTTTCTTCTTGGATTTGCCGCCTCCTCTGTGAAGGATTGAAGCTCGACAAGGATGGAACGTTGAAGCTTATGTACATTGTTGTATTCTTGTTTCAGTAGTTTTTATTCTAGGAATTGAATCCGTTAAATATGTATGGAGTTTTTTTCTTTCTGCTGTTGAGCTGAGGCTGGCTTTTGAGGTTTAACCTGTTGTTGTACATATAGTTTCATTTGATGATCAATCTTTATGGGTTGATGATGATTCAGGAGAAGGATGTAGACCTGTCGAGTAAGATAGAGGAAGGCTTTGGACCAAATGGGTTAGGGATTCTGTCAATTAAAGATGTAAGAGTAATGCTTTAACCGGTATCTATCTTGTTCGGGTTATATGCTTGCTGTATCTGGACAGCACAAAGCTCAACTTCATTGGCTTGCTTGAATTTGAATTTCTTGGTTAGGTCCCAGGTTTTTCTCCATTGCGTTGAAATCTTCTACATCTTTCTCCCAAGTATGGTACATCGTCCTCTCAGTTTGTCTGCTTATTTGTACTCAATAGGCTTCAATTTTCTATCTTAACTTTGCTATAATGGTCGTCCCTTATCAGACTAGCTAGCCTTCTAGATGAAATAAAGAAGGAACTTGAAGATCCAAGTACTAGGTAAAGCTTTATGATTCTTTACTCCGCCGTCTCGGGAATATGCCACTGAGCTGAAGATTGTAGTTCATATAGCCTCAATTTGTATAAGTGCATACACAGTCAATGACCGGATAGACGATTAGGTTTCATCATTTGGCATCTCAATTCCTTAATTAGTTCTTGGTGTCATGTGGGCCCTTTCATGCTTGTTGTGACTTGTGATGAATTGAATGCATACTTCAAGTTTTGAGGTGCTGGTTGCTAAACTTCCAGTTCCTTTCCCCTGAAGTTCAACTGGCTGTTGATACTTGATATTATTGGAACATTTTATATGATTATTATCGAGATAGGTGAAAATGTTACTAGAGATAATAACTTAAGAATTGATATTATTTGTTTCATTCTACTTACCTTTACAAATAGGTACAACTTTGGATGGAGTCATGGGAAATAGAAGCTTGAATCAGGAAAGCCAGGCAAGTTTTTATTAGATTAAATTTAATGTTAAGTCATATGGTTTCTGCAACTATATCCTTCAACATGATCGCTAATAGGAAATCCAGTTGTCAAATTACCATTCACTAACTCCTTTGTGCTTTTCCTTGCAGATGTATTAAAAGGATCCTATTATGCAAATCCAATAATAGACGTGCCTACAACCGATGAACATCTGATACAACGGTAAAGTTCTATGTAACATATTTATTGGTTTCCAGCTGTTTGTCACTGTCTGTTGAGTATATCTACCATTCTGCATGAGTTACATGTTTAAGCCATCCACATGTTTCTCTTTCCATCGACATGAGGTGGACTACCATCCATGCTTGCAAATGCTTTCCATGATGAAATGTTTCTTACTTTGTTCAAAATTCTGGTGAATGCAGGTATCCTTCATATTGTGGATCTAATATATGGCCAGTCTGATGAATAAACCATTTGGACTTCTTTCGGATCACTATTTGGATACACTGTTTGATACCTGAATAATTTGCAGTGACGGTTCAAAAGGTGGAGACTCCATGTCCTCGTGGTGTGGATGGCATACAAACCATGGTTCACTAACAGGTGAGCACCCTTTTCAACTTTTAGTGTTTGTATCTCCTTTTTTTTTTTGGAACAAATGTGCGTTAGTTTAAGCATTTTCTGGAGTTACTTATTTACTTTCCTCGTCCTCACTTTTAGCGGTTATACACAAATCGAAATAAAGGTTTGTAGGTAGCTTTTGTGATCCACTTTTAGCTGTCCAATAGATTTTGAACCTTCTGTACTTTTATTCGTCAAGATGACGGCAGATGCTTGATTGAATTAATCTTTGAATGCCTTAAGTTATGGTCTTCACTCATCGTACTTATCTGATGCTTTCTTCAACTTAATATGTAGGTCTGACCTGTGCACTGTTTAAGAGAGATGGTATAGAAATACCTTGCCCTGATAGTGCTGCTGGTCTTTATATTAGAACACGAAAAGATCAAATTGTGAAAGTACATTTTCTTAACATTAACTTTCCCCTTGCTGCAAATTGATATCATTTCTTTGCATCATTCGATTGCTGAACTTGGTCTTCATGCTAATCACTGGTTATGTGCCTTGTGTAATCAATCAAATGGAGTTTCTTGTTTCTCTCAGCCGTCGTGGAAATTCTAAAGTTAGAGGATTTGTCTATTATTATTATTATTATTATTATTATATATACATTATTGATCCATAGAAAGCCACTCATGTTAAAAAGAACATGAGATATATGAATGTGAAGAATGCAAGCTGCTAGTCCAAAACAATAATGAATCTTCATGGAGCAATTGGCTCTTTAAAAACTGTCATGCCATGTTATAAGTGAAATTTATGAAAACATTTTTCTTAGGATTTTAACTAATTTATAAAGGAGCTAAGGGAAGGTAAATTACAGTATATATTCCATGTCAATGAGTGCCGGTTCTGATTCCACTTTGTGAAACTACAATCCACATAATTAATTCCAGAATTAGCTGTGTGAATAAGTGAAGTTCTTCATTTCTTAGAAGCACTTGTCTTCATTTCTATAGTCATTGGATACACATTCTTCTGTTCTTTTTTCCCGTCTTCTTCTTTTTCTTACATAGACTTGTTTGTCTCTCATGATTCAGGTTGTGTATGGAGAAGATGAACTAGCTTATCAAATTGGAGAAACCACTGAAATACTCTCGGGAGGCTATCTCTGTGCAACTCCTCACTGCGTTCGGGTACTTCCTTAACCCCCACATTATTTTTGCACAACAGCAGAACTGAGTGAGAACCCATATTCCATTTTATCTGTAATGCACGTCAAGGGCAGTAAGTAACCCTTTGTTGGCTTGAAGACTGTGAGCTTTGTTCTTAGGTCATGACCTCAAATTTCTGTTTCTTCTACATCACGGTAGGGATAGCATAACAAACATACATGACAGACTTAAAGGACAATGCAAGCTTTTTTTTTTTAATTTAATTTTGCCTACAATGCCATTTCACTTAGTTGCTTTTTTCGCTGTGATTCAGGCACCTAAAGGAGCAGCAACTTCTAATGTCGACCGATCAACGTTCGCCTTATTCATAAAAGAGTTAGAATAAGACACTTTCATAAGTTTTACGTAGTGTTTTAATTATTGCGGAATGCTTATGTAACACGTTATTTGATTGAAACATAAGAAATAATTATCCCTCAAACCTTTAAAGTTTAATGTAATATATTTTTATAATTGTTATAGAACGATGCTACGTAATCATTTGTAATGTGTGGTTTAGTAATAAAATCAAGTTACAGGTGAGTCTTACATTTGATTACTACATAAGATACTTTACAGAACTTGCGTAATGCAAATTAATGAGATGATGAACATTATAGTTAATTATTAGGTTTACGTAATGTATTTATAATACGTAAATCTTCCGTAATCTGGAATGAAAAAAAATAATGAGATACATGTCTAAAATCTTATGGACAATTTGGGTGGAGGAGAAGATAAATAAAAAGTTACATAAATAAATGACTTGGGGAACACAAGTTTATGGTAAAATCGGATAAAAAGTATTAAAAAATCCAGTTAACAATACCATATACAAAAATGGCTAATACCACTGGAAAACCCGAATCATCAAGAAAGTGTCACTTGTATCCCAAACTATTCAATATGACATTTATGTCCCGAACTATTTTTCCGTTAGTGTTTACCAAGTTTAACCGTCAATATTAAACAAAAAATTCAGTCAGTGTTAACGTGGCATCCGATATGGAATTTTAAATATTAATTTTCTTTATATTTTTCATCTAAAATTATTAAAATAAGAAAAATAATAAAAATAAGAAGTTACAAAAATTCCCAAATCTTCTCAATCGCTCTGTCGATTCCGCTGCTAAGTCAACATCAAGTTGACCACCATCTGGTCAACCGTTATTTATAGTGGTTAATGAAATCATCAAGACATAAATGACACACAACTATCATATGAAATATTGAATAGTTCGGGACACAAATGAAATATTGAATAGCTCGGGACACAAATGACACTTTCTTGGTAGTTTAGGTTTACTAGTGGTATTAGGCTATTAGCCCTATACAAAAAGGAAATAAATTGAATACAAGCTCTATTTTATAGTTAGAAATATTAATTATAGATTGCCCTTTTATATAATAATAATAACGATGATGATGATGATGATGATGATAATAATAATAATAATTTTAGCGGTTGACACTGTGTTGCGGGTAGGGGGCATAACTAAATTTGGGACCTTAGGTTAGTGTGGGTTCAGATCTAAGGGTTGAGAATTAAAAACCTTTTATTTTCCCTAGTTTTCTTAATTGACTTTTATTTTCTTCGTTATAACTTGAATTTCAAATATTTTTGAACAGATGGAACAAGTTCGTTGTGATCTACAAAATGAGATCTATTTTCAATATGTTTTGAGAAAAAATTTCATACCACTCGTTAGCACCCGAATACCATATGGTATTAGCTTCATTTTTAAGTTGATTTTGAAATTTTTGTTTAGAAGGAATGGGTTCATCATTATCTATTCGATCTACAAATTTATGGGGAAAAATACATGACCAAAATATACTACCTTAAACCACCCAAGTATATGAGTGATACCTTGTGGTACACAATGCTGAAAGTTGTAAATGATAGTTTTTATATTTCTACTATCATGTATTCAACAATACTTCAATATGGTATGTTCATACTTCATAACACCATGATACAGCTCTATACCATGTGATATGCTCTTATGTAATACCAAACTATGCCACCATGGTATAGACTTGTACTAGATTTTTTATTCCAAAAATATATCAAAGTGGATATAATTTTGAAAAACACAATTAATATGTACAAAAAATTCCCACTTAAAACGAAAAAGATATTGTATGGTAAAATTTAGAAGGATAAATATTAGAACTCTTTCATAAATGATGATTTTAGAGGTTATGCATGGTTAGTCACCATAAAATTACGAAGAGAGGACCCCCGAAACACATCAAAGCTACGTTGTCAAAATGTCGGCGGGATAGCCCTGCAAGAAATTCACAACTGAACGGGCAACATGATGGTTATCCTGGCTGCCCAATGTCCAAGTACTTGGACAACCATCACAATTTTTTGGCTAATAACACCAGGAAATCCGAACTATCAAGAAAGTGTCACTTGTGTCCTGAACTATTCAATATGATATTTATGTCCTGAATTATTTTCAGGGGCGGAGGGAGAAGGTTAGAGGGTGGGTCCTGGGGAAGAAAATTGGTAAATTAGGTTTAATAGTTAATCGGGTATGAAAAGTAACACGTATTTAACTGAGAATGGTCGACCTTTCAAATATTTGATGTTTGATTTATAAGTTGTGTATTGACATATTCAATGTTTTTATAATGAGTTATGTACGAATAGTAATGGTGCATATGATCCACCCAAAATTAAAGATGTATTTGTTCAATATCTCGAACAACTTTCCACAAAATCATAGCTAATTTATAAAAAGGGGTAGGGAGAGTGTAACGGGCGGCTACCTAAGGGAAAAAAATGAGTAAAATAGTATAATAGTTAATTGAGAATGAAATTATGTACGAATAGTAATGGTGCATATGATCCACCCAAAATTAAAGATGTATTTGTTCAATATCTCGAACAACTTTCCACAAAATCATAGCTAATTTATAAAAAGGGGGTAGGGAGAGTGTAACGGGCGGCTACCTAAGGGAAAAAAATGAGTAAAATAGTATAATAGTTAATTGAGAATGAAATTTAAGACACTTCTAATTGAGAATGGTTGACCGAGAGACATGTGTTTGAATCCTGACGACCTCATTTGTTAACCACATGATATTCGGATTTGTGGAAAATTTAAGCACGTATAAGTTGGTTTTCGTTAGCGGGGAAGTGTTAGTAAATACTAAATAGTATAAGTCTATTATTAAATCTTTCACAACAATTGATACTAAACGGTCTTGACGAAGAACAACATTCAAGAGCAAATGTCTAACTAAATCATTAATAATTGGTTGATACATATAGAGTGATATTCTTGATAGTTTTGACATATATTTAATTTACCAAGTTTTTGTAAATACAAAATTATATCATGAATTATTTAAAATGCTAACAAAACTGTTTTATTATATGTCTTTTTTTTTTCTAAATGCACTCACCCTCGACAAAATTCTCGCCACGCCCCTGATTATTTTTCTGTTAGTGTTGACTGAGTTTGACCATCAATATTTAACAAAAAACTCAGTCAGTGTCGATGTGACATCTGACATGAAATTTTAAATATTTATATTTATTTATATTTTCATCTACAATGATTAAAATAAGAAAAAGAAAAAATTAAAAATTTGCAAAAATCCTCAGATCGTCTTAATCGCTCCGTCGATTTTGCTCCTAAGTCAACATTAGTTTACCACGTCTGGTCAATCGTTATCTATAACAGTTAATAGAATCGTCATGACATAAATGACACACAACTATTATACGTTGAACATAAATGGAATATTGAATATTTGGTGACACAAATGACACTTTCTTAATAGTTTCGCTAGCTTTTTTTTTTTATGAGATAGACGGATGACCATCATATATTCATACTAGGTTAATGCCCGGCCTATTGGCCTGGAATAATTTGACCCTTTAGTATAATTAAGGTCTACGGGTTTTACAAATTGATTTTGGGCGCAAGACTATCAGGCCCGGGTGTTTAGTGATGCCTAAATGTTGGCGAGAAAATCAAATTGAGATACAAATTTATTGGATTCTCGGTTGAGGTTACGGTACATAATCATGGATTATGCATTTTTTTTATAAGCAGATCTCCATTTTGAGTGGGTTATATCTAAGTGATGTGATTAATTCTGTTCCAAATTTTATACTTTTTAATCGGCTTGTGTATTCTTTATATTAACCTGAATTAAAAAAAAGTGCACATATGAAATGTGTTCATTGTCATTTACAAAATTATATAATTTTTTTATATATTTAGAGGAAAAAGATTTACCACTCATTACCACTGGTTACCACCCTGGTACCAACCAATTTACTGATCGAATCCACGGCTAGAATTCTTTTTTTTTTTTTTGTTTCTATCTAGTTTTTACCCTTTGTTTCCTTCATTTGATTATTTATGTCTTTTTCATGCTCTGCTTGGTTGAAGTAAAGAAATAGATCATAGAATTCGTATTCGCTTGGAGTACTGTAGGTATAAGAGTATTACATTAAAGCCTTCAAGAGAAACCAAGTAACCAACAATTGTTAGCGGTGCATATTGAAAAAATATACCAAGATGGGGTACAATATCCTAATAATTAATACTTGGACCATATGCTTGAACATTGCCTCGTCTTGATAGAATTCATTCCGTAAATTACATTGTCAAAATAAAGGATCGTTAGAGATTTCTGATTGTTTTCGTGTGATTGTTACAATATATTGTTTATAATTTTTTATTTTTCAATACAAAATTCATGAATTGTTTACTTCATTTGACATTAAGTATCACACTGATTGATTGCTTAAACAATTTGTTCTTTTAATAGAAGATGTTGAAAAGTTGAGTTGAGAGTGTTGAAACTCAGTTTTATTAACTTCTTACAAAAGACAATTATACCAACCGATGTATTCACAATACACAAAATCTATCAATGCATGCACAAATATTATACATGTATTCTTTCCCTTTTTTTATGCTCATTGAATGAGGAGATAATCAACTCATACTAATTGTTTGAGATTCCTTGAATTAGTGGAGGTTGGTCGTGAGTTGGTAGAAGTAGGCTACATAATTTTAGTTTTTTATTTGTGCATAGTTAAATTTGAATCCTTGATTTAGAGCGAGGCATGATCTAAGGGTGCAAACTTTAATTTTTCTTGCTTTTCTTTACCGGTTTGTATTTTCTTTATACTAGTCACGGGCCCGGTCGATTGGCCGGTTTCATTTCAAAATCGTGTTAATACCAAATAGGTAGCAATGTCTGATTCATTTGTGAATCATGTAAATACAAAATAGAGTATCATGAGTTTCACATGTTTTGTTTGTTTACAAAAATCTAGATCCCTGAAATTATAGAAATGTAAATTTCTTGGTAATGTAAAGAATCCAAATTATTAAAGTACTTACACCATTTAAAATACAAACATCATAGTATTCTGGGACATCCTAATCGACTCATCGAACATAAGTAATTTACAAAAAATCAACGACAAACCCTTTTACCATCGAACTAAATCCTAATTTCTTTTGATAACCCTTATCTTTACTCATCGTCAGTGTGCTTCTTTCACAACATGCTCTGGTCCCGGGTGTTCTCCAATGGTCTTCTAGCATTAGAAGAAGTCGTGTCTGTCCCCGACATCTGCAACGTCCTCCCACGCTTTTGTTTTTTAATATAGGACAAACTTAAGGAAAAGACTGACCCATTCGGTGATGAAGAATAACATATGTCTTGGGATTGAGTGTCAGCCACTTCCTCGAAAAACGATATTGAAGAATCCAGTTCCTCTTTTCAGTTGTGAGATCGGAAATCAAATGGGATTGCATTTTGACTATCCTCCAAAAAAAAATCTATTATGTTTCACAATGTAACTCTCTAAATATGTACTAAGCACAATGTTAATGTAGGAAGTGTGTAATTAAATAAGGTACGTATATTAAGTCTTTCTAAAATATGTAATTCAACACATATTGCTTACGTAGTAGAACTTCAAAAGTTAATTTAGAAGTAAGATTGAAGACATGCATAAAAAAACTAAGATCACCAAAACATGTGCGAAGTTTCAATAGGGACGTGCGGGTTAATGTAAGAGAGCAGCGGAAACGGCAGTAGACATGAACGAATAAGAATGCATGCAATAATTTGTTAGATAACAAACAATTGCGCCATGTCGAATAACTACGCTGACTGGAGAAAGTAATCATCGGTGAGGGTATACTTACCGTTATGATGGAAAAAGCTGCAGAGAAAGAGAGGTCGCTTGGGAACTTGTGAAGGGCGGGACGGTTTGGGTGGGAGTAGGGGTGGCTATACGGTCCAGTCCGGTTTAATTGGCCCGAATTGATCCGGTTCAATCCGGTCTTTTCGAAAATATAAGGACCAAAGATTGAATTGGATACCGTCCGGTTTTGACCCGGTCTGCTCCCAATTCGGTCTTGATTTTATATTGAACTTGTGAGGATTTGAGTGGCCTAAGGCCTAAAAGGGTGATGAGTTGGTTAAGTTATGTACTAAGTGCAAAGGTTTGTGACCGTTTATACTAATTACCCTTAAGTTTTGGGTGTTGAGCTCTCTTATACGGTTTTTATCCAGTTTTTTATCCGGTCCCGAATGGTTCTTTACCTCAAATATAAGTCCAAAGATTGGATTGAATTGTTTACTATCCGGTCCAGGTCCGGTCTCGGTCCGGGTTATACGGTCCGATTTCGGGTAAAACCAAAAAACCCGGACCAAATAGCCAACCCTAAGTAGTAGATAGGCAGCTCCATCCCTTTATATAATTATCGGGACTCGGGTGTGAGTTAGTTGTTGTGTAGGATTATGTGTTGGGATTTTCTCTGCCATGATGTCCGCAAAATTTTGGCTACTTTATTGCTAATTGACGGTGGGTGTAACATTGTAGGAATGTAATTGCAATTCAATAATAGTTTTTTGTATTCCTTTTAATTTTTAAATGAAGTAATTTCACGGTTGTGGTGTCTTGTTTAGTTTGGAATAATCTAATAGTGTAATTTGTTAATCTTATTGACTTAACCTAGTGGGTAAGGATTATTTTTTTTTTGTGTAAGATTAATAATGTAAGGGATGAATTTGGAGGAAAGAGGTTTGATAATCTTATTACACATAACAAATTTTTTTTTTTTTTGGTGAAACCATGGGGTGCTAAAAGGGCACCCCTGCCTGACACTTAGATTAAACGAGTTTGGGCAATGCCCATAATGTCATACATGGTCCAATACCGAAGACCAGGATCTGAACAACTAATTTCATGAGTTCCGAGGCTCAGGGAATGACCCTTATTAGCAAGATAATCAGCTACCTTGTTGCGTTCCCTATAGGAATGGCTCACTTTGACCTCCCAATCACGGTCAATCATACGTTTGAGTCTGCCCGTCAGTGTGTAGTAACTTTAATCCGTATCTCTGTGCTGCATCAATAAAACCAGCGTTGTAGTGGAGTCGGTTTCCAAATGGACTTTCCGGAAACCTTTCTTCCAAGCCATCTCAAGGCCTTCCAGCATGCCTATTATCTCCGTCCTGGTGATGGTACAAACTCCAAGCTTAGAAGCAAAGGCTCCTCTGCAACGTCCAAGCTCATCCCGAATGATTCCACCCGCCGCCGCCATGGAGGAAGGCTGCCTGACCGAGCCGTCCGTCTGAAGGGAGATCCATCCGTCCGTTGGGGGTGTCCAGTAGAGTTGTTGAGGGCTCTTCTTGTCCGCTGGTTTGTAGCTGTTTCTATCGTCCTCCTGGGCTTTAGCAATCATTCTTGTCCAATTTGTGATCTTCCGTCCAAGAGCTGTTGGTTCAGGATCGATTTTCTCAAAGACCGCTTCATTTCTCTGCCGCCAAAGGTACCAAAGAGCCACACCGAACCGCAGACCTGTGTTGGCATCCCTGAGGTTTTTTTGAAGCCAATCTGCAAAACAAACAGGTGGGTTAAGGGGCTGATTGGGGCTGCCAAGAGAAGTCCAAGTCAGAACAGCAGTGGGACACTCCCTGAGAATGTGTTCCGCAGTCTCCGGACTTGAATTGCACAGGGGACAAATATCCGTTCTCGAGATGTGTCTCCGTTTCCTTTCACAATTCGTAAGGAGACGATCGTGATGAAGGAGCCACAGGAAATGTTTGATTCGACTTGGACCCTCCCATTTCCATAAACCCTTCCAATCACATCGCTCCTGGTTCTCAGCATATCCTTCTTTCATCCATATCACTGCTGCCGTGTAGGCAGATTTGAGACTAAACCTCCCGTTATCTTTAGGACCCCAAATAGTTCTGTCCTCTCCAAGCTGCGGATCTGGGGGATCCATCCCTGCAATGATAGAAAGCACACCATTAGGGAGATGTGGGGAGATTTCATTCCAATCCCACTTACCGTCGTCATCCGTGAGTTCAGCAACTGAGGCGTTGAGATTCGGGCCGGTCGAGGGGTTGATAAGCTGGCCAGCTAAGATCATGCCTCCCGGAAGCCACGGTTCTGTCCAGAATGCTACATTACGCCCACCACGAATATCCCAGAGACAGCACTCCTTCATGGCAGGCCAAGCCTTGAGAATACCCTTCCATAGCCGCGAGACCCGGTTCGTCCTCATTTGAAGGCCGCCAGCTCCGTTTGGTTTGGAGTATTTCCCCTGCATAATTCTGACCCATAACTCCTCTTCATTATTAAGGAAGTTCCAAGCTAGCTTCATCATATAAGCGAAGTTAAGTTCCCGCGCAGATCGGAGGCCAAGACCCCCCTCCGCCTTGGCTTTACAGACGATATCCCAAGTAACCAGGTGGATTTTAGACGTCGCTTCTTCCGCACCCCAAACAAACCCACGAATCTTTTTGTCAATAACATCGCGGACCGTGACCGGAATGACCGCAGTTTGCATCACATAGTTTGGGAGGGTATTAAGCACTGACATAGCAAGAGTCACACGCCCAGCTAAGGACAGGTTCCTCGCCTTCCACCCGGAGAGACGTTGGTCGATTTTTTCAATGACGAACTTGTAGGTGTCTTTAGTAACCCTTCCGTGTATGACCGGGACGCCTAAGTAACGACCAAGATTCTGTGTGCTCCTAATTCCCATTCGGTTGCTAATTCTTCTTCTGGCAGTCTCCTTCACATTCTTGGAGAAGAAAACGCATGACTTGTCTTTGCTAACTTCTTCACCAGAAGCAGCACAGAAACGATCGAGACACTGCATAACAACTCCTCCCTGCTGCAAGGATGCTTCCGCAAAGAGGACAAGGTCGTCTGCAAAGAAAAGATGGGTTAGGGGCGGGCCATCCTTGGAAAGTCTGATAGGGTACCAACTTCCTTTCTCAACCTCTTCCTGAATACAATGGTTAAGTCGTTCGATACATAAAGTAAAGAGGTAAGGGGAGAGAGGACATCCCTGACGTAAACCACGAGAAGGATGGAATTCTTCAGTCATGCCACCATTCCATAAGACTTGAAAGGTAGTCGTAGTCACGCAGGCCATCACAATATTAACGAAATTTCCTGGCAGGCCTGCAGAAAGCAGGGTATTCTCCAAAAAACTCCAGTTAATTCTATCATAAGCTTTGGCCAAATCAATTTTAAGAACCATGGACCCCTTTTTCCCGGTTTTCATAGACAGAGAATGGACAACTTCCTGAAGGATGATGATGTTATCCGTGATGTGGCGTTTAGGGACGAAGCTGGATTGATTTGCCATCACCAGCTGCGGCATAAGAGACTTTAATCTGTCGGCCAAACACTTAGCTATCACCTTGTAGCTGACATTGCGCAAGCCAATCGGCCTAAACTGAGCCATCGTCTTAGGAGAATCAACTTTGGGAATCCGCGTAAGCAACGTCTCATTGCATCGTCGGATTCTTTCGGGATTGTGAAAGCATTCACTGACGAAAGCACAATAATCACTCCCAATGCTGGACCTGTTCTTTTGGTAGAACACCGCATGGAAGCCGTCTTTCCCCGGAGCTTTTAGGCCTCCCATGTTCTTGATGACACTGTGGATCTCAAGAGGAGAGGGTATAGCCGCAAGCTGGTTCATCATACTAGGGTCAATTTCCGGGAAGAGAGCAGGGATATCCAGGAAAGTATTCCCCAAATCAGTGAAGAGATTGAGATAGAACTCTCTAGCCAGCGACTTAAGGGTGTCTTCATCCTCCGTCCAAGTCCCATCATCTTTCTGCAGTCTAGTGATCATGTTGTTGCGACGACGAGCCAAAGTCTTGTTGTGGAAGTACCTGGTGTTTCGGTCACCGTCAATAATCCCAGTCGATCTAGCCTTTTGCATCCAGAGGATTTCCTCCTGCCACAAGGTCTGCTCCAAATCAGCCCTCACACGGTTCTCCTGATCAATGGAAGCATCAGTTGCATTATGTTCGTTGGCTACTTCCAAGTCAGCCAAGATTCTAGTGAGATACTCTTTCCTTCTATGGATACAGCCAAAGATCTCTTTGTTCCACCTGTTAAGGCAGTCTCGAAGATAATTCAAGGAGGCTAAATAATCCTGCCCACTCCTCCATGACATGGCCATGACATTAGGGAAGTCATGATGTGCCATCCAGGCTGCCAGGAACCTGAAGGGCCGGCTGCACCTCTTCGGGACATGCTTGTGACTGCTACGGATGAGAATGGGTCGGTGGTCAGACTTGAGCTTAGGGAGGTGATCGTTGACAGTCTCTGGGTACCGGAGGAGCCACTCTTGATTGCATAAAGCGCGATCCAAACATTGTGAGAGCCTCCCATTAGACCAAGTGAACTTAGGTCCTTTGAAGCCAACATCAATAAGACCACAGTCAAAGATACACTCGTTGAAAGCAGCAACGCGTTGAGGGTTGAAAGGGGATCCGCCTTGTCTTTCGGAAGGTTTAGTGACAGAGTTGAAGTCACCCACCAAGAGCCACGGCTCGCTGATTTGACTCTCTAGGCGTCGGAGCGCATTCCAGAGGGGAAGACGGCCTTGAGCTTTCGGGTTAGCATACACCGCAGTAAGGAGGAAGGTTTCTTTATATGGCAGCGTGCATCTCACATGCATAAATTGAGGATCTTTATCAAGAACCTCTGTCTTCAGACGACTATCATTCCAGAGCATCCATATGCCACTTGCAAAACCAATGGCATCAACAAGCTTGAATTTATCAAAACCCATCGAACGAATCACGTTTTTCGCGTCATTGCCACTGATTCGGGGCTCAATGATAATCGCAATATCCGGTGAGTGCTAATGGGAGTAATTAAGAAACGAAGAAGTGAAATTGGGGTGTTTCGCCCCCCTACAATTCCAACAAAATATCTTAAACATAATAATAGAGAAAAGGGTAAGGGACTCCCTGGACGGCAGCGACAGGCGCAGATCAAACAGATATGTTGACGTTGGTGGCGCCGGAACGCACCAGCTGTCCTGGACCTGCTTCTTCCTTCCGGGCAAGCAAAATCTCATCATCTTTTTTCCCTAGCAGCAACTTCGCCGTTGAAGGCCCTCCAAGGGATGTTTGAGATGTCGATTTTGCCTGAGATGTTTCGTGGCTCGCCGAAGGGTCTGGCGGTGGGTCAAACCGATGGGGTTTGACTGCGAGATGGGTGCCAGATTGATTCGGACAGGCGACACTCCTTGGGTCGAGCTAGGGAAAGAACTTTGGGTCTTGTTGGTCTCAATCGGAGCCAGGGGTCTCCTGGATTGGGCCTCTGGGTTGGTGTTCAGGGTGGGATTAGTGCTGGGCAGATTAGTACCAATTTGAGCCTTAGATTGGGCTCGGTTTTGGAGGCCTGCTTTGTTGGTCTCCTTCTGTTGCGGTGTTGGACGTTTTACACCGGCAGTTTTCTCTGCTGGTTTAGTTGCAGCGTTGATCTTCATGCCGTTAACCCCTTCATTATGACCTTCCTTTGCTGGCTTGATTTTCCTAATTTTGTTTTGGTCTTCCGCAGTTATCTTCTCCTTGATTCCTTCCAGCCCTTTCCTACCATCCCGCCTGATCTCCTTTGAAGTTTCCTTTTTATGGTTTGAAGCCGTTACCACCTCCTTCTTGGTGAGCACAATCTCCGCGCTTCCCTCAATTAACTCTGCACATGAAATCTCTATTTCAAGCGCTGAGAACCTTGAGCCGGAAACTTTCGGACTTACCATAGATGGAGTTGCTTCGATTGGGCGGTCGTCCCCTTTCGCTTGAGAACTTTCCTTTTTTGATTGTGCCTGCCGCCGACGAGGCTTAGTGGCCAACATCCAGGGGCCAAAATCTTCTGTAACCTCCGGTCGAACTGGCTGCGAGCTCTTGGAATTGAACATAGGATTTGTTTGGGTTGTAAAGTTCTCCGGAGGTTTACCGTCAGCAGACTTATTGGCGCAAGATTCTTGTAGGTGTCCATAGCAGCCACACTCAAAACAGATAAGATGGAGCCCTTCATATTCAACTCTGCGCACGCGTCGTTTGAGCCGATATTTAGAGACAAGCCTCTTGTTCAGGTCAAGTTCGACACAGATCCGAGCATAGTTGCCCCTGATACAATGAAGTGTGTTGTAGTCAATCTTAACGACACGTCCGATCTTGTTACCAATATCAGTAAGGATCTCTTGATCAAAATAACCAATAGGTAGCCTTGGCAGACGAACCCAAACTTTAGTGCTTTCAATGCTATCAAAATCTG